CCAAGGAAGAGAAGAAGGTTGATGTAGTATGGATACTGGATCATTTTAAAAAGATCATGAATGGAACCAGTCAAACGGAAACGTTTGTGATGGATTGTGCAAGATCCATCATATCCGCTGTTGAATTAACGCACCATACTGCCCACATAGCTCTATGCTCTTTTCACGTGTGTAGAGCTATGTGTAAAAAGACCCGCAATCCAATAATCAAGTAGTACTTATGTCAACTGGTGCCTGAACAAACAGTAGCTAAGTTTAATCAGACACGTCGCATAATCAGTGTACGCAGTAGACGCATCACAGCCTACTTAAACAAGAACTGGATGAGTAGGAAAGAAACCTGTGCCGCAACTTTCAATACGAATGTCGTTACGTTGGGTAACAACACGAACAACCGGGTTGAAAGTGCGCACAGACAATTGGGGAGAAAGTTGTTTAACCGAGACGCGTTGAGTAAATGCATGTGGAAGACATTTACATGGCAGAGGCAATTAGGCAAACGTAGGTCACTACAATCCAGCTTACACTGTAGTCACAAACGCAGATACGTATCTGAAGATTGCTTAATGCCTCTACTAAGCAAGCCAACCATCTATGCTGGCTTTGCAGTCTTTAAAAACTATAAAAAAGGGGACTGATGTACATCAAGAATAGCCAGTCACCCTTTGTGTTATTCGTAGACGGCCATCAACGTCCGGTAGTGGATATAAGCAACGGCACTTACACCTGCCGTTTATTTAAAACCTGTCGAATTCCATGTAAGCACATGGTTTTTACTCATCTACAAATGCCAGAGATCACATGTTTGTTATATTCATCTTTGTATCATGAAGTAGTTGATTTAGTTTTGAAGCTCTGTTGAAGATGGACTTGGCAGGCTGTCCAAGATGTAGATGGAAATATTCCAGCTATTCCGTCTCCATATTATAATGAAACGAACAGACTTTATCGCGCTCTACGCAGTAAAATCCACACACTCAGTACATTTTTCGGACAGACGACGGTGCAGGACACACTAAGGCAACTGATAGAAGAAGTTGATGAATTAATACGCGTAGGCGTCTGGCTGCAGTTTCCAAACATGGTAAGTTCACTGGTTCTTTGGAAACCAAAATCTAAGTATTTATAAATGCATCTATTAGGCTAATACTCGTACTCTCTATTTCAGATAATCAATGAACACAAATCTCGTCATGTGCGTCTGCTGCGTTGCCAGTTTTTGTTAATACCTTATTAAATAAAAGTCTTGTATTCACTAAATACAGAGTTTTTTGCTATATTTGGTATAAGGGGGCGAAAACATTGAATGGGCCTGTAGTTGTGCTTTGACGAGCGCGTACCTCCACGGTACTAGTGACCGGTCAGTGTAGCTAAGGTATTGACTGGAAATCCGACGGCATCCCAATAAATAACTATGGCTTAAACGCGTACCCATCAACTTACTACTGCAACACATCATGGCGGCTGAAATAGGTTATAAGAAGGCCCGGACTTGGGGGTTTCCCGTTGCTTGCTTATCATATGGTATTTCAATCAGAAACTAAGATTAGAGGCGGGGACTGTTGGGATGTGTAACTGAGTCAACTGTCTTGACTTGAAATTACTACATATCAACTAGGTGCTGACAGGCTCGCGTTTCACCAGTTTCTTACAACGATTACCTAGATAAAACGAAATAGCATCAAGTCTATAAGTTTATTCACGAACTTTAATTAACAATGGAATATGAAACATATTTACACCAGGTTCCAAATTACATTGTAGCATTGGTAAAGTGAAGCTGCAGTAGTTGTTTCTTTTCAAACGATAGGGTATAAGAAGTAACTCCAAAACCCTGGAAGTAGTTGTGAGACTAAAGTGGACGTCCGATATGCTTTTAATAATCTGCTGTTACTTGGGTCTCCCATAAAGTCTCATAGGGCCATAGTTATAAAGCTGAATGACATTGTAAGATCAGTGACGGCTCATTCCTGTTACATTCTAAATAAAAGATAGTAATGGATTTAGTCAAGAATGTTAAAAAGGTAAATAAACAAGTTAGATGTTTCTAAGGAAAGAATTTATGCACCTGTGATTTGCCTCGACTTCATAAATATCAGATCACGCCAGCTACTAAAACTTGTGCAAAGTACAACACCGCACAGCTTTTATTATTTTGCTCCCACTTAAGTATTCCCATACATCTGCGTCTGGTTTTACAGGAAGACATACAAGTTGATTTAGTATCTGATAAACTAAAAGTTCCAGTTTTCAAAAAGATTCTTAACAGCCAGCAGCATTTAATTGAGACACAGAACACTCATCTTCTAAGGCTGTATACTGCTGTTTAGCGGGCAACTAAAAGCTCAGACGCTTAGCTATCTTGCTACCTATGTTATTGCTGGGGAAATTGTTTAGTGAAAGTGGTCTTGAAACATGAACAGTGTTAGACGTACTGTCTACAAATAAACACCAAACGTACTTATGGCTATCTTATAATGTATGACAGCAACAGCATCAAAGGCACGTTTTTTCCTATTTTTAATCAGACTGTTTTGAATCAGTATACTCACTAAAAACAGGCAGCTCTACTTACTAAACTGATCTGTTTCGTTACAGGCTTCAAGCACTATACTTAAGTATACCATAATTCTTTCAACTAAAATGAATTATACGACAACCAAGAATACTAAACTAAGCAAGTGTCATAGTTATTGTTCCATTTGCACAGACATGTTGCTAAACGGAGTCAAATGAACATAATTCAGCCGATAGAACCAAAACACGAAATATAGGCCAGTCGAACTTACCTAAGAGAAAACGAAGGATACATATATACTGCATTCATACTGAAGACAACAGGCAGTTGTTCATAAAAACATAGTTTGCAGTACAACAAACCTTTCTTCAGTAAAATCATGCACTGACAGTCTATCTGGAAACAATCAACCATGTGAATAAACTCACTATGACTTGAGATATCATCACAGCGTGCGATGGACGTACAGTGTAACGCAGTCGGACGTGGCGAATAAAAATTAAAAACAGAGCAAAATTAACTACATAATCTAGTTATTTAATTAAAAATACATTATGGGATGACAAAATCTGTGGTTGCTTGAGCGCACAGATGACCCTGGGCGATACACTAAGTTTACATGGCTGCGTTGGGGAAAAATTCACCCTTCCCTGCCATATAATTTAAATTGGCCATTTGAACAATCTTTTTTACTCGTATGACAGCTAGACCAGTTAAACTAACGGGTTGGTAGTTACTAAGTCTCTACTCCCTCGAATTGATTGCTGAGTCTTTTCAATTTCTTGACAGTTCAGAATTCTACATATACTTATCAAACAGTATTACCAGAGGTTCATCAATTATATCCGACAGGGTTCTCATAATCCTAGGATAGATATCGATGGAATCATTGGACTTATCTGGCGTAAAATATTGAAGTAATCGTAAGAAAACTCTGTTCTCAATAACTACGGGTTCTATTGGCAAGTCGCCATTATAATTAGTTGTTAGTGTTTCACCATAGTCGCAAGAAAACACTACTTAAATATTTTGATGAAGCCTCAACCTTTGCATGATCATTTCTTGCCAGTATCAACAGTTTTTCTTGTACCAGAAGTGGTGGGATTCCATCATTTCTCTGAGTTCGCCTCTTTATATATACATAAGAACAACCTTTTCGGTGTAGTTTCACAGTCCCTAAACATTTGCTTTTCATATGAATGTCTAGCCTTACTTACCAAGTGGATTTGTACTATAAGCAGAGAGGGGTTTTGTGGATATTATAGTAGTTTTAGTACTTGAATTCATGAGTCAATTGAAGCTAGATAGCCATGGAAAACCTGGGAGCACTGTATGGCCGTTTCACCCTAGTAGTGCGCATCCACGATCCCACCTCGCGAGATTCGGACCCAGAGCCTAACAGTCCCGCGTGACAATTCGACTTCTAGACGACTGAGCCGGCATCCATGTTGTTATAGCTTCAATTGGCTTATGAATTCAATTATTAAGTTTACTACAATATCCATAAAAACCCTCTCTGATTATAACCACAATGTGCTCACTAGTGATGGTCTCCAAAAGGTATTTCCTGGAGTCCTAGTGAGAAGCCATGACCGATGGAGTTTATCCGGGTCTGCTGTGAGATAGTAACTTGCCGACGACAATGATGGACGGTGGCGTGACTTCGTGGGTCAGATTTGTGTTGTTCAGTGCCCGTAGTGATAAATATACTCCAAAGCCTTTTTCTACGGTTAAGAAGTTTCTTGACCTGTTTAGATATCCATGGTGGACAGTTACTTGATCTGAGTGGTAGTGAGCTGGTTATAAACGGAGGAGTAACTAGGCTAGGCCCACCTTTAAGTATGGACCATGCTTCTTCAATTAATGAGCTAGTATTTACTCAACATCTCGTTGTTACAATGCATTCCTTCATGCCCGATATTTTTGCACTCAACACATTTGGGAGAAGTTTTACCCAATCATATATTACTTTACAAGCTCTAAAGACGAATGACGAAACGGCACAATCCCCATTTTCTAATCGTGGCAGAATATTTAGATAGGCAATATCTTCGACTGTATGAGTGATTACTATGTTTAACAAAGAAGGTCCTTGCTTTGAAACAAAATGTGTGGGTCCGTATACATGCATGCTCCATCCCCGTCATCAGAGAGAGTTTTCAGGTCCTACGGTGACCATACCTGTTCAACTAATATCAGGTACATTAATATCTCTTAATATAAAGCGCCAGTTATTTTTACTTCCTAGCTGAATGTGCACTGAAATAAAGACATTAGCGAAAAAGAACAGACCGCGCTTACGACAAACGCTCACAAAGAAGATTTCATTAGAAATAACCTAGATCAATCGGTCTTCCTACCTTATCCTCAAAGACTGGAATTTGAACGGTCATGTATACAATACAAATCCCAACGTCACGGCAAATATTCAAGTGAGGATGTGACGGACTCTGGTTCAGCTTCTTGTCTTGTGAAACTCGTTATGCCTCTGGATTCAAGCAAGGAAGTCCTCGTTAAGCCGTCAAACATTTTTTTTCATTATTCAACCGAAGGTATTTGCAACACATGCCAAGTATTGATTGTTAATAAATCAGCAAGAATACTGCGCTTCAAAGGTAAATTCAGGAGTCTTTTAAGATCGTATCATTAAATACTCAGTCTTATCTACAGCACGTTCCAAGTATTTGCTATCAGTATGCAAGGGCATTTTGAAGTCTGGTGAATTCGTTGAAACGTAATTCTATCAGTTTCATTTAACTATTTTTTTTAGTGATATTTCAGTATCCAGAGTTTCAATAACGGATGATACAAAGGACTTTTTCAAGATCCAGTTTTTCGATTCATACGATGGCTCCGCTTTTTGTAGGTTTCCGTAAACAGTAATTTGTTTTCCCCCTTCCTGGTATGGTCGAATACTCCAGTCTGCGCTGGCCGTATATGTTTGCAACTTCCCTAGTTCAGTTAGCTGACTATTCGATAGACCAGTCCAACTGGTGTTTGTCAAAGTCCTATTACTTCCACTAGCCTTTAATCCCCTTCTGGGTTTGTAAAGAACACAAGGCTGAATGTCATGTGTTATTCCTGGCAATGGGGTCTCTCAGTTACTCAAACCTTTCTTTGGATCCATCGACTAGCGCAACTATAACTACCTACTGGTGTCAAGAGTTACAGTAGCTGCAGACTAAATAGGTTTTTTAGTTAACTGGCATGTAATCGATTCTTGGCACGTGAGCGTTCAGTGCTCAGTGATGAATCCACCTTGGGTTACAGATAGGCTAAAACGTACTTAAAAGATCTGCGATAAGAGGATATGTTTCACCGGATTCTATAGAGGTATAAGGATTGAATAAATTGTCATAGGTGCTATCCATATTCATCTATTTAACTAATTTACAAATGCGTTGGACGTATGTTCAGACAGATTTATCAATGTCCTTTAAACCATTGTTTTTCTGGCTTACTGACCGTTTCTCTATTGTTGTTGATTTAAAAAGAAAGTAACGAAGGCTTCATCAGGCAAGATTTATACTTATTTCTATTGGTTGTACTTATTGTGATTTACATCGCTTTTCCTTTTTAGGCGAGCATTATATATGTTCAACAATTTCGCGTAACCCCTCTCATAATGTTGCTATTCAAGATTCAGACTCATGCAGCACTTGGCCCAGTCGTTATCATGATGTTGGTTTGTCTAACTCAAGCTTAAGAACAGCATCTTTATCGCGAGCTTTTGGAAACCTGATTGGGTTAGAAAAGCGCCCTATTACTACTAAGACATACTTATCATTAGATCGTACGAAATGTGTGGGTCTTTCTAACATGTTCCCTACAGTTAAAGCACAGAAGAATAGATCGAATTCAAGTAAATATTTAAAATTATGAACAAATTACTTTTGTTTTCTTATTGAGTTTTACGCTATCTATCTGGGTGTTTGGTATTTGCATATTTAATACAATGTATACTTTTTCCTATATTCAGTTTCCTGATTTCGTGCCAGATATTTAGCTAGGATAAATAATTTACTCTGTTGACGTACGAAGTACTTAGCTATTAGGATTACTTGGTTGTATTTTTATCAAAACTTATACTTTCCTTCACTTTCACCCAGTAGGATAATCTATGGAATCTATCAGCTAGACGGTTTTAAGAAGTTTAGTCACTTATCGGTGACTAGTTTATTTTACCCATCCCCACTTTGTCTTGGCTAGAATATAAATACGTCTAACAGGTATTTTAAAAATATTGCTGACATATGTGGAGTTCATGAAAAGTCTAAAACCAATGGAAGTGCATGCTTCCTTTCTAGAAATACCTAAGAAATACGTCGTTAAGTGCTCTAATATCAATTTATCAGTAACTCAGTCACAAACATTGTTGCTAGGTCCAAAATTCTGTGATGTTTCCACACATGTCAACGAGCTTAGCACAAAAACTCATTTCGAAAGCCTGGCCCGTCAGACAAAAGACCTTATCCCTGTATACAACAAAGAACTTAAAAAAAACATTGTGGATTGTCTTAATATATCATCACAAAATCAACAAGTAAACTACTTTCTAGAGAATAAATTCCAACTATTAGATCTATTGAGAAACGAAGATATAGCGTTAAATCGAACAAATTCCCTAAATAAAAAGATGCTGCAGATCAGACTGAGCGGAAATCAACTAAACTTCTCAAGAGAATGAAAGATCTCTTTGAAAAACAGATTAACTAGATCCATTATTTCACGATTATATAAATAAGAACGATACCCCTCTACGTTTCATACTAGATATGGATAACTCTCCATATCATGCCATCACTAAATGGCTGGTTGAAATTCTGCGTTCGGTTGGAAATCAACTCAATAGATACACAACTGCTGATTCGTTTGATTTTGTTGATTCAATATCGTGTCAACCTAACCGGAAAGGTGACGTCACTAGATATCTTTCTAACGGAAACAATCCGCCTGTTATGTGATTACACTGAAAACAACAAACTCGATGTTGATATTCCAACCCACTGCTTGGAGGAAATACTTTTTTGATTCCCTCTCAACGTCCAATTTATGTTTAAGAATGAGTTCTGTGGACAAACTGACAGTGTAGCGATGGATTCAACACTTAGCTCACCGCTATCTGACTTTTTCGTTGCTAATCTTGGAAGCATACTTAGACCAATAATTGACAACTGTCTACTCAAAAGATACTTAGATGACACTTTCATTATTTGTGACAAAAATACCAACGTCAACGACACCCTGTACGCGTTCAACAGCTGTCATCAATCAGTTAAGTTTACGATGAAATCAGTCGGAATCGGAATTCTGCTTTTTAGATGTTTTGGTAAAGCGACCTGACTGTTCCCTACAAAGATCGATATATAGAAAGCCAATATGGTGTGGTCAATACACAAAGTCTCAAAGGTAAGTCCCACTGAAGCAAAAGAGAAACCTGATTCATTCTCCCTGTTTGAGGGTTATACGCATCTGTACCGAGAATATAATCAATACAGAACTTGATAAACTACAGTAGATACTAGTCAACAATGGATATCCACCTTGATTCACTGAGAAAAATCTGAAGCCAAAACAACGTGAGTATCCATAGCACCAAAGAAAACTTTCTTCATGAACATTCTGTTTAGAGGAGACACCGGCGAAAAAAACAGACTTCCAAGATCTCTGACGAAAACTTTCTATTCGGCTGAACTTTGGATTATCTTTTCTAGTCGGCTTATAATTAGAAGTTGTGTGAAAGATAAGTCCCTGCTCTGGGCCAAATCATTGTGTATCTTCAGTGACACAATAGGTGCCTTTCGTTACATCGATAATCATAGTAGAGTAACGTTTTATAATGTTCACGTAAATGTCAATATTATTCTTTTTCTGGTCGTGGCTCTAAACCTGTTTGAACTAATGGTTCTCATTTGCTCATTCTAGCCCATAGAAAACAGCTAATTTTATTATACTTTGTATTTAGTTTTCGGCTCCCGTTTTATGCCACCTCTAAGGAAATGTCCTGTCTAAAGTAACCCTGTTAGTATCTTATCACTTACTCTAGTACATGAAGTGACGTTATTGTTTTGATCTTTTTTTGTAGGTACGTTAACAGTCTGTCGTGGTACCAGTGATAGTCAATCAGAAAACGCTAGAACGAACATCATCTTGTTTAATAATCTACTCTATAATTCTTTGTTTATTTTAAGTTTGATTGTTTGTCTATTTGGAATTTTACTACCGTTCCTTCCATATGATTGTAAATTATGGTTATTGTCAAAGGTACTTCATGAGCGATTGAAGATTAATTATATTACTGCTACTCCAAGTTCATTGACTTTTCCATATCATTCACAAAACGTCCATGACCATTCTCAATCTTATAAGCAAAGTTCTGGAGCCACTTATTCATCGACAACTGAATGTCCTACAGGGGAAAATCCACCAAAAGATGAGTTTAATCGTCACACTCGTCTGGCATTCTTTGCTTTCAAGAGTGCATTGCGTAGTATTTGCAGAGCAATAATTGCTTTAGATCCATTAGTCGCAGTTGCTAATATGTCATGGTTTTGCTTAGGTGAGCATTTTGAATCCTATTATATGTATACCTTGATATATTGTTTATTGTAACACAATCTTCATGGATTTATAATTGTGCCATCTGGAGAAAAACTTATTGGAAACAGTTATTCACTTAGATATCCTTTTCTTTTTTACTATATCCTGTGGGAATATTTAAATTAGTGAAATGTTAGATATTTAAATCTAATGTTTTCACCAACTGCTATGGTTTGTAAATGCTGTTGCTAGTCAGTTCGTCTGTGCGGATTCGGTAGACGTCATCTCTTATTATGTCTCAAATAAATGACAATCTAATGAAACAGTGGTGATGTCTCCTTAACTATCTTTCATCGGCTTTCGCCAGTCAACATATTCACTCATAATGGGCCTGAATGATATAAATATTCATTAGTCATCTCGCTTATAACTCGGTGGGACGGTGAAAATTGTTTGCGGATTACGTTACCCAACATTAATCACGGTTGTCTGTTAAATAAAAATACTCACGAATACACAGAAACTGAAGTAACAGTCACGTCCATTCTGTGTGATGAACCATGTCTACTACATGAGGGCTAATGGTACTATGTGATTGCCGAAGTCCTAATATATATAACATGTGATTCGCTAGTTAGAATTCAAACACTTAAAGTGAGAAATAATGTATATTTTTAGAAAATAGAGGATATGTGCATATTACAGATTTTTGATCACAGCTTTGTGATCCTCTTTATTTTCTAGTTCACTTTCGGTTTATTATTTTTTCAAAGCCTCATGTCTCGTTTTCTTTATATCACTTTACGGTATCGTAATTTTCTAAAGAATTCAACCAAATAATAATATACCAAAATTTTTTAGAATGGTTTGCACACGATGTTATGTGATCGTTCGAGTTCTATAGGTGCTCTTTATGTTTTTCACGTTTTTAAAATGGTATCAATAAGTCTCAGTATTCATGTATGTATGTATACATAATGTAATCAAAGCGTTGAATGTCACCTTTCCCTAGCTAATTTTGATGAAGTGTTGATCTGCGTCATTCTTTTGTATAATTATAAGTTTAGTAATATTGTTAAATGGTTCAATTTTATTTATCAGGTTTGTTACTTATGTATCATTGGATAAAAAGAAGGTAAAGCTGAACAAGAAATACACAACTGATACCTTAATACGAGATGTCGGCAAACCAGGGAAACCTTTGTTATTTATATAATAATATAACTAGTATAAAAGAGAGATATCAACTTCACGATCTCTAGATGTTCGAAAATTTATCCAGATTTACAAAATGACTTCATTCTTGCTTTTACGTTTCTGCTGTTTCCATTACCCCTATCTGTATTCATTATATGTAAAGCACTGTTTTTGGTTCGATTATTCCTTCATCTATTTTACCTATTTTTCATAGAACACATCATTTTCTACTTTCGTTTACATTGTGTAACTTTTAAACTTAAGAAATCGTTCCCTTGTGTATCAGCAACTGTTCAGTTAGTACAAGTTTCATGATTTCTATAATTTCATTATGTATTTATCGAAACATTAAGTTACTTACTGGGTGGGTATGATTTATATATATATATATATATATATATATATATATATATATATATATATATATATATATATATATATATAATGTTTTGTAGCAGGTCCAATTAGTTCTTTTAAGTCATTACTATCCTTTAGATTACTTTATTGTCTTATCCTCGTATTACTTAACCATTGTGATAGCCTTATTCATAGGATTATACTTACTTGCATTTGATATTCTTATCCACTTTAACTACCAACTGCTGACAACATGCATATTTGTTTATTTTTCTGATTTATTTTTTTCCTACTTTGTTTAACAATCATGCCAGTCAACGTTTTTCATGTATGTCCACACACCTAATCCTTAATTTATAGACACTACTATCTTATAGAGTTGCATGAAGATGTATTATTTCTGTGAATAATTTCGTTTGTTTATTGTTTTTAGACGTTCCTTTATTTCTTTCTATATTCTGTTTAAGAGTTTACTATCTAATCTTCTTGCCAGTCACTCTTACTGTTTTTGTCTCATTTTGCTTATACACACACATAAGCCTTCATCTGTGCCTTATTCACCTTTTCCTACCATGAACTAAAGCACCGCATTTATACACATTCTTGTACATCTGACAATAATTATATATATATATATATATATATATATATATATATATATATATATATAGGTGTTCTCATTGCTTTCGTTAAGTTTGGTATTTGCTTTTTGTAATTTGTTGCATTTCGCACATATATGTTTGTTTGCTTTGAAATTTTATCTGCCTTGGTTAAAAGATATTGATGAGTTCACCATATTCCTTATTTATTCAGTGTGTATACAATCTCACGAATAATACAGATACGTTTTATGAAACATTAAAACATGTTTTACTTAGTCAAATTCTGTGCATACCGAAAAATCATTACGATTATAAAATAATAGAGAAATTCAGTTTGTTTATTATTTTTTTTTGTAATATTATCAACAATCGAACTAAAACTCGCTAAAAATGTGTAAGTTTCTGCGCATAATTATAATTTACAAGCATTTTATAAGACAGTACTAAAGATGCTAACCAACTGTTCGTGTCAGTGTATTTTGAAAAAAAATGTTAGAAAACTTGAGCCATTAATATCTAGACAGATAACTTATAAGTTGTTTGTACCCCATGTGACTACCACATGTAAAGGGAAACAAACGTCATGTGGTCTGGAATATCACTCTCCATAATCAGGATATTGAATAAAAATCGTTGGTATGTTGTTAAAAAAGCGGAATAAACCTTGTTGAATGACAATGTATTGACGAATTATGGAAAAATATCTGTGCCATTGACAACTTTAGCTAATATGATCTAAAGTTTATTTATTTCAACACATAAACATCGGTACAAGGAGGCACCAAATAGATGTACGCTACATAAATCATTCGATTTGTGTGAGGGCTGGGATACTGCCCGGGTGCCCAGACCGAAGCAGGAGATTTTCTTAAGGGGCCACAACCGGAGCATTTGGCCTAAATGTCTTATCCGCAAGGCAGTGGAGCAACCCAACGAGATGCATCCAATGGTAACTTGTGACCAACGATTGGTTCATACGCCATTTGTTCCTTCAGGATACTGGAGCCCATGTGTACCATTGTTTTGTAATCAGGGTTTTCCAACTCCCCTTGGTAAACTCTCCGTGTCCATCAACCCAGTTAAATCGCTGGACATTCGTTTTTGGTCTTCTCAACCTCGTAAACAATACCCTGATGAGAGAAGACAATGAGTAGGGATTTCCTGATAGTGGTTGTATGCACGTGGCGATGTGAGAGCATTTGGAGAGAGAGAGCTGACTCTTCCCAGTCTCTGATGTACCGGGGCATTTAGGGGCAATCACCAACTTATTTCGTTTACACTAACCAGAACCTCGTCAACTTGAACCAGCAATCAAAGAATTCAATAGTTCGTATTATGTTATGCTGGATATTAATTCTGTTCAAGCTAGAATTCAATGTTCTGGAAAGTAGTGTCTCAACCACTCGTCGATCTAACTTATTATTATTTTCCTATTGAATTAACGCCCTGATTATAGACCTGTGAATCCTGGCTATTTTGCTTTCTCTACTAATTACTTAGGCCTAACCACTCCAAATAAAAGTATATACTCCAAGGTCATCAGGACAGTGTTTATTCACTAGTTTTTGGCGTAATTGTCTTTTTTTTTAAGACAACGAGTGCCTTCTGCTAAGATCAGTTCTTTCTATTGTTGTCCTTAGGCTGTTGAATATCGCTTAACTGTCTTTATGAAGTAGCTTTTCCGGTATCTAACGGTTGCACTAGATCCTTATTTGTGTTAGTGTTAGTACCTGGTTCTCATTATTTCATATAAAAGAGGTCACGATGTGATCAGAGTTGGGGCGTCAGTCGTTGGGTTCTGATTTTGTAATTCCGTTATCACAAGTTTGATGCTCGGTTGTTGTCTGCATGCTGAAAAAAGTTAATACTATGCGGGACATCTATCCGATGTGGCACAATCTCAAGGCAATGAAAGTCCGCAATTCAACTACGTGGTAGCACATGTTTGTGTGTTAAGAGTTGTTTGTGTTCGCTTTTACTTCAGATTATATTTATTTGAAGAATAACTGTCCGTTACCCATGCTTCATCACTTACTTAAGGATAAATAGCGAGTTCGTTTAAGAGCTGTTTCATCCGATTGGTCGTCGTCATTTGTGTTTCATTCCAATAGAATTAGCTTTCTATAGATACTTAGGGTGCCTACTTTCAGTCGCATTCAAGCCACGCTGATTTTCTGTATTTCATTTGCATGATGAATTTGCACTCGGTCAAGGTTCAAATTTCACGGTTGGTGTTTATTTTTTTAGATATCAACCTTACTAAAGAGTCTTCCTATTGATCTTCTTTGATCTGTTGTTTTTGACAAGGTTTTAATCTTAACGTATCTAAAATGATATGATTCGTAATTTTATCTTTTCTTTTTGACACTACTTTCTCATTATTTGGCTCTGCTGTATAAGGTTTGTAGTCGTATGTGCAATGTTTTTGTACTTTGAACGGTTTGTGAAATTCGGGGTGGACTGTATAAATAATTATTAATAAAGCCATGGATAGTATTTAGGTCCTATGATATAATGCTTATCAGGTATACTTGGGGATTTGTTTGTACTCATTTATTGTGATGATTTTTGTTGTCAGTGTATAAAGACTAAAAAAGTATTTAACGGCTATGATTGTACGTTGAGGAATTATGTAGATGAGGAGTGACTAAGATTCTGAGCTTTTAACTTATCCATTGTTTCCGGTAAGTTGTATTTCACCAATATATATATATATATATATATATATATATATATATATATATATATATATTTCAGACCTGAAGACAGATTTAATGTAATGGATAGTTTAAAATATTTTTCTCAGGTATATTACGATAATGAGACTAGTCACATTATATGAAATTCAGAATTCACGACCCAGAATAGAGAACAAGAGTATCGAATAAATAATACTTCATTCAACACACTTACAAGCAATCATTCTCAATGAGTCCGGTTTAAAAATCAATAACAAAGAAAGTAAATCACACTTAATCGTGGATGCGCACTGCTGAGGAGTCCCATCCTAGGACGAAACGGCCGTCCAGTGCTTCCAGGTTTTCCATGGTGGTCTAGCTCCAATTGACTCATGATTTCAACCAGTGAAATTTCTAAAATCTCTACAAAACCCCTTCTGACATATTTAACAATCAGTAGGCTGTGCTTATTTGTCTACACTCAGTGATAAATCATATTTTACTTTCATTATAACAGATCAAGAATTTATTATTATTATTGAAACTTTTATCATAAAGTTATAATATTTACAGGATTGATTTCTTTTGGCTGACATTTTGAAATGGTTATGTATTAAGGGAAAATTGTTTTGGTAAACAATTTAAGTATCATATTATTAATGAGTGTAAGTTATTGGTATTTTTTTCTAAAATACAAAACCGTATATGTTCAAGTTACGATTATAGTTCATCTAACGGATTTGATTTATTTTTATAGTTTACTATTTGGTTTCACAATAAATACTGGTATGTACATTATTTAGTTTCACTTAAAATTTATCCTTAAGATTAACTATATTTTTAAGCTGATATTGTGATGTGTTCTACTGATGTCGATAGATATAAGTAGTATTTATCATTAATTGAAAGTGAAATATCTGGTGGCAGAAGGTTAAGAAGATCGAAGGAAAGAGAATGAGAATAGAGAATGATTAGTGTAGAAACGAAGGAACAATTAAGTGTGAGACAATTGATTGATATTTTGCAAATGAAGTATTTACTGTATAGTGCTCAGATTTTAATAACAGATTCTGTAATTTTGTATTCAATTATATTTGGTTGTCCCCACTAGTGTTCTCGTTCATTACAATATCAGTAATATTATATAGAATAGAATATTAAAATGTAGTTTAAATTATTTCTTGTTAAGGTCTATGCTTTACTGCTGAGTGTTTGAGTTAAATATGATCACATGATGGGTTTTTTCGTGAGTAGGGGATTACTAGTTCAAAAGAAGGGTGTATCTATATACTTTCTCAAATGACC